GTTAAATACAACCACACACACACATGGAGAGTCATATCGTATCAGTTAGGCACAGGAAGTGACTTAAATCAATAAGCTGGCATATCATCAGTTCAACAGTTAAACAGTTCAAACAGGATAAAGCAAAAACACAATTTTCCATTCACTTTAATTTATATAAATTGCAAGTAATTAAACCATTTCCAGTCACTTAATAAAAAAAGTAAATAAAATGAAAATTAAAAAAAAATACAAATATCTATATATTTGTGTGTATATAAACAACATATTCAATTGAATTAACATATATTTATAAATATCCATGAAACGTGCAAAAGAATATAGTGAGCATTAATATGGAATTTCGTTTGTCAGCTGCAAAATTAGCTCGAAAATATGCAAATAAATTACAAATTTTGCATGCGCAATTTTTCGGCTAATAAAAACGAAATAAATATTTAAAATACAATACATATCAATACTACATATATTTAATAGTAAAGTAAAGGCTTTTGATCAAAAACCACTCAAAGGGAAAGTCAAAATAAATCTAAATAATAAAGTTATTTTTACAGCTAGTGTGCATAAATTATATATGTGGAAATCGATATTGAAACAAAATTACATGCGAAAATAATTATTTAAAAATTATCTACGGAATAATATATAATATAGATATATAACAATATTTAATGAAAAATGAGTTATTGAAAATATTAGGTACACAAATATTTATCAAATTAATAATATATAAATAATTTTTATGAAAAAAAAATATATGTGTAAAAATTAATTAATAATAATTTAATCATTTATTCAATAACTATAATTTTCTTTGAAACAAAAAATAAATAATAACAAATGTGTAGAAATTAATAATAATAGTTTAATTATTATTTCGGTGAATAATATAAAAAATGCAATTAAATACTACCTATATTAATGCTCTTGCAGCTGCCTATTCAATTAACTGCATACTTTAATTTAATAAACTGAATATAAATAATATACAAAATTATATAAATATTTGCTCAACATATTTTACAGTGCATAAATAAATACAATTCTTGGAGTTGAAGCAAAAATAAATACAAATAAATATTGTAGTTATTTGTGAAGAAAAGTGTAAAGCAATTACAAGATTGTTTTTGATGTACCAAAAGTGGGCGTGAGTTCTGTGCTCTCACTTGAGCATACAAAAATAGACGAAGAAGAAGTAAATGTATATATAGAGTAATATAAGTATATAAGACAACTGGCCCAGTCAATGCCCAAGTTATGACACGAAACGTGCAGACAGCTCGTTAAAGGCAAGTGTATAATTATTTATATATATATATATACAACATTTATGCATATATAAATATGTATATTTATACTCATTGAGTAAAGTGAAATGAGTATATTTATTTGGTGGAATGTCGCTCTTGCTGCATGTCTGCAAAATCATTTTGTATGTGCTCGCATTATAGTAAAAGGGTAACCCGATCCTATCACTAAGGACGTGAGAAATAGGACAGTGTATTTTCCAGTAGCTCAGAAATCATGCTAGTCAGCCTGCTAGAGAGCTATGGTGGATATATATATACATATGCCCATTCTACCACTAAATTACTACCGACATCGTCTATTAGAGGCATGGCGAATCAGTAAACAGATCTGATAGTGTTTGGGCAGTGAATAACTATTCTGCAGTTGGTATCACCCGACTGAAGCATTCATGCCTCATTTACATACATACAAATATATATGTATATATATATAAATATATTTAAAATAACTGCCACTGCATTAAAATGCTTGCCACGCCAGCCACATTAAAAACTGCTCAACAGAATTTGCATAATTTTCCGCCCTCTCCTCTCTCTCTCAGCCTCTGCTGCCTGGGCCGTTGCACTGTCAGCCGCTGTGACTGTGTCTGTCAGTCAGGCACAGGCAAACAAACAAACAGCTTCATTACAAAATCCTTATGTACTGCACTTCAGCAAGTAGGCAAGCAAATTAAACAATAATTATTTATGCAATAACAATTGAATGTGCAAACACACGCAAGTGCGACCGAGATGCAAATAGCTAGCAGCAGACGAACGCAAAACAAAGTTGAGATCAGCGAGCCGTGTAAATTGTATTCTAAGCGCCAAATGTTCCGACTGCATCTGTCTCTCTTTCACTATGTAAGTGTGTGCGTGTGTGTGTGTGTGTGTGCGAGTGACTTGCATCAAGTTTTGGCATAATTTCAACATTTATTCTTTAATTTAATGGAATAATTTTGTGCCTTTGAGTGCGGGCGGCGGCACATGTTAATGTTATTAAATCATTTTTTTTTAAGTGCCTGAAAATGATTAAATTTATTTGTGCAAATGTTCTATGCACACAGTGAAGCTTGACTAATTAGCTATAGTGAAAACAGATGCATCGTTCTTTGAAATAGTTCAACATATAAATGAGGCTTAGATCTTAAGCCTGCAAGTTTTCATTTAATGTCTAAGAAAATTTCTTATTTGCACTTGACTTCCATTTAAGTCTCAATTTATATAAATATGTGAATCTTTTAATAAACTTCAAGCATAGTTTTTCAATGTTGTTAGCTGAATAAAAATACAATAAAATAGTAAACGTAAATAAATAGAAATCTTAATACTTAAATACGTTAGTTTGCTAATAGCTTTTGATTTGAGTAGAGAAATACATAAGAATGGTAAAATTCTTATATTTTGTCGGTAAAAAAATATTTATATAATTATATTTATATATAATTATATAATTAAAATTAATATATATTTATAATTTCTAGCTACAAGTAATATAATGCACTTTATATTGCATATAAAATAAATTTAGTGGCAGTAAAATATCGAACTACAACTAACTGTATTATAAATTCCCAATAGATAATGTACTAACTCTTTAAACTATTATTCAAAAGTAATTCATAGCAAATGTTGTATAATATATTACATTATTTAGACAGCAATTGAAACGACTTCTTCTCCCCAAGAAACATTGCTCGCTAGAAAACAAACCACCTTAGGCAATACACACTGTGGCTTTATATAAGTTCGCGCACTTGTCTGCCCGCAGAGACAATATATCTTCAACGATCTGCTCGGAGGTTCTGTCTTCACTGTGCCTTTCCATCTTGTTACGCCCACACACACACACACACACACACACACACACACACGCACACAGTTAGCCGCGTTCTTTATGCGCTCATTCATGCAGCGTGACTTCTATTAGAGCACACGCACGCACACTCATATACGGCTTATCGGTGTGTGTGGGTGTGTGTGTGTGAATGACTTCACGCTGCTGATGCCATTTGCCATTGCTAACAACTACAATAACAATGAGAGCAGAGGCAGCAGCAGCAACTGGCGCCGCTTGCGACGTCACTTAATATACAAATTTCAGTAAATATTTATACTCGCACACACACACACGCACACATATACAGAGTCACGTAGCTGCTGCAGTTTCCGCTGAGTTCTCTTGGAGCTGTCAGCCAAGTGCCAGACCAAAGCGAGACTCAGCCTCGAGAGAGTGACTTTCGCTCGCACTCTCTCTCTCTCACTCCCTCTCTCTCTCTCTTTGACAACAATTCGTTCAATTTGAAGCAATCAAGTTATTTTAATTCATTACGCTTACGCGGGCAACACTTTGGAGACATGCACAACTGCAGCAGCAGCAGCAGCACAATGTGGGGCCACGCCCCTTGTGCCACGGTCTTCGAGGGCAAGTCCATGTGCATTTTGCCTGACACCCGCTCTGCGTGTGAGTGTGTATATTATTTGCATGTGTTTATATTACATTCTCACACACGCACACACACACACACACACACACACTGGCACACCATCAAAATGTCAGACATCTGTCATTTAATTTAATTTGACTTCACTTGCTTTCATTTGTTCGCCTTCGCCTTCGTCTTTGCTTCTGGCCTCGCAGTTTTCCCCGCCTCTCTTCATCCTCATTTCCCACTTTTTCGCGCTTTATTTTCTTTTTCTCTTTTTTTTTCCAAGCGTCAGCGACTGCCTTAAAACGTGCAATTTAGTGGGAAAGGCGGGGCCAGCGAGCTGTTTCTGTTGTTATAGCTGTTATTATTGTGTGTGTGTGTGTGTGTGTGTGGGTGTGTGCTGTGGGACACACACGCGCATAACTTAAAACGTTTTGCATAGTCAGTGAGTTGGCCCAACTGGCAGGCAAAACTTTTGAGACCACGCAGAGCCGCGCATGCACTCAACATTTAATTTGTTTTTAAAATGCAATATTATATACATATATGCAAGTTGGTGCTTGTTTTTCTTGAGATGTGCTTACTATTAGCATTGATATTGGTATTATTTGATATTCATATACAGAGGTAATACATGAAATATTGCAATATGTTTTCAGTAGTAGGCAGCGAATGAAAATAGGAGTAGAGGATGGTTATTATACAACTATTGTAGTTAACTAAATATATAGGGAATGGTAATGTTCATAACCCAAAAGCCTAAGATCAATGATGGAACAGAAAACAGAGACATAAATGCTCTCCGATTACTCTAAAAACTATCTGCATAAGATGGATACAAATTTAACAGTTAAAGATCAATCTCAACTATTCATAAAGCTGATTAAAATAACTTCATTTTCAGTTTAGCTCAATCTTATAGAATTCTATAAGAAAATGTGTTTTCTTTTCAAGTTGTCCGTTGTAAGAAGCTCATTCTGATAGACATAAATCTCATGTATGTACTCGATATGAGTTTGAAAAACTATACTTATTCGTAATAAACATTATTTGAATAAAATTTTTGTCTGTTTAAAAGTCAAATCTTCAGTCAAATATAAAAGAAAATATACCAGTACTTAAAGTTTTATGCATAAGAAAAATATATTTTATTAAAATTAATCATAAATATTAAAGCAAACATCAAAGGTTTTATCTTAGGTTTATAAAGTTAGCTAACATGTTTCTTGCTTATATGCGATTTCAATCATGTCAAGAAATTTGATTTCTTGTTTGTCATTAGTTGAACTAAATATTAGCTGATGATTCTATGATTCCATTGCTATTCAGTCGACTGCTGAACTGTGTCCAAATTCCTCTGGTCCTTGGTCCGGCTTCACTGCAGTCGCTTCAGCTTGAGTTTGCGGTTCTGCCTCTGCACCGCTTTGAGCTGCTTAGCCCTATGCCGTAGCTTCTGTTCAAGCAGCCGCTTGAACTGCTGCTCCCGGACCAGTATCTGCAGATCCTCGTAGCTGCACGTGGCCATGCGCTGCTTTGTTTTGGCAATTAATTCGTTGGTCAACAGAATCTTCGTCTGCGACATCTTGGCGTAGTGCGCCTTGCGTCGCTGTAGCTCCGAGCGGTGCAGGAACAGAGCGTAGGCGGTCTTAACAGTTGTTGCTTCCATGACGATTGCTGACTGAATGTGTCGGGATGTGCCGCCTGCCACCCCTTTTATACGCTGGCAGGCAAATGTTCTGATTGCCTGCTTGCAGCCCATACCGGATCCGTTTGGGACACTAGCCTTTTTTTGTAGCGTGTGCCTGTTTACCCCAAGTGCGCCCGCTCGTGATTTTTCATGTTCTATCCTTTGGAGTGTCGTTTACCTGCCGCGAGTACACCTGCAGCTGCAGCTGGCTTATCGGTCGTCCTGCGGCCTGCCGGGAGCCCTCGCAGGTAGCCGCTGTTATCTTTAACGTTCCGGCTACGTGTTGTGGCATTAATGCACTTTAGGCAAATCCCACACACACACACACCTACATATGTGCATGACACAGGCGAAGAGTGAACGAGCCTGAACTGAACGCTTCACTCTGGCAGGAAACGAAAAGTTAGGTAAACTTTCGCGCTTGGCTGACCCAAATCAACCACTGAACGTACGAGTGAGCGAGCGAGTGAACTTTTTGAGTATGCATTGGGAATTTTTACGTGCTGCATCAATAACTTGGCCAACGACGACGCATCCTTGACAGAACCACGCACACTTGACGAGCTCTGGCTATCTCGCTCTTGCACGCTATCTCTCTGCGTCTATCTCCCTCCCGCCCACTCTTCGGTTTATTAATTTGCATGAACTTTGGCAATGCTCATTTTTCATGTCTGGCTTTTTGGACCGGGCAGCAGCTAAAGCCGCAATTAAAAATTGCTTATGGCAGTAAGGGCTCTCTGAGAGCAACACCCACAACCACGCCCAATCCCTCACTGGGAACGTCATGCAAAACTTGCACAGTTTTTGTTCGTTTTTGGACCAAGCTAACTTAATATTCTTCATCCTTTTTCTCTCCGTATATATAGCATTTCCGTTTAACACCTCCGTTGCCCGCCTTTGGGCATTTAGCTAAGGCAACTGTGCATCATTATTTTGGAATTTTTGACAGTTTTTTCCACGACGATAAGCTACTTGTGAATCAGCTCAGCTTAAATACACGCAGCTGTGCGTGAGTATGTGTGTGTGTGTGTCTTGTCACATTTCCGCCGGAAGTGTAAGCACAAAAGTTCGTTTTCGTTAAATGCCAGCAAGAAATGCAACGTCGCTTCATTTTCTCAGCCAGACATTGACTGATGATGATGAGCATGATGATGTAAATGGGATTTATAGTGCGCCATGACAATAGTAAACTGCTTCAGCTTCATGCACACCCACACACTTACACACACACACACATATACACTAAGACTGCTGCTGGTAACAAGTAGCTGAAATCATAAGCTGTGATAGCTTCTTTGTGCGGCTGCTGTGACGAGCCAGCAAATTGCCTCACTGAATTTATAGTACAATTACCACAAATCTAATGAGCACCAAGGCACTGAGGCGACGATGGCGACAGCGACGGCGTCGGGGCGTGGCCAGACGAGCGAGCATATAACAGCAGACAGACAGCTTCATATTTTGTCTGTAGCATACTTATTGGGGCAGGCTGGTGCAAGTTTAACTAATGAAACGAATGGGCAGAGTGGAAGAGACAGAGCAGGTTGCTTAATTATATGCGAAAAAAATGACAGAGTGATATTTAAAGAAACGTTTTGTTGAAGATTAGGAGAGCTGTAGATAGTTTTTTGCCAAAAATCGCATCTTAATAACACAAATGTAGCATGCGTGCATAGAAAATCATGATTCTTATAGTGTGAGGGGAACTCTGTAGAGCCGAAAGAGCAGACAGAGCTTAGTAGAAATTCTACTGACACATACATAATATATATATACCATATATAAGTTGATTATGTAGTACGCTGAAATCATTAAAAGTGGAAGATCAGACTATAATAATCTATTTATTATTATTAAGTACCAATTCTTCATCATTCAAATTAATCGTATTCATAATAATTGCTATCGCAAGAGAGCTCACTGAATATTATTAAAAACTCTTAACCCATAAGGTCACATAGAGAAAATCGGTAACTGTGTACGAAGCTAAATGCAGTTACGTTTGTCTGCTTATCTATGCATATGCATATTCAACAGTTGCTGCGAGTTGTATGTGAATGGGTTAGGTAAGCTCTGATTGTTTACAATGTTATGCAAGAGCAATAACTACAGGGCGTCAACATCTTTAGACAGTTGTCGCAGCTGTTGCCCTGGCAGCTAACTGTACATTAATATTCCGAATTTGAATTCAGAGAAACGTTCACAAACGCGCCAACACATTTTCATATTCTGATTATTTGCTCTCAGTTAATAAAAAGTAGTTGGCAAACCAAATTGCTGACATTTTAAATAGGTAAAAATAAGAAAGAAAAAAAACTTATAGCAAGCTTGATTCAATCAACTTTTCTCAATTTCTCTCTTAATCTGAGACCAATAAACACATTTTTTTTCAGCTTACAGTCATCCATAATAGAAGCTAATAACAAATTATCTCAAATAAAGATCTTTACTTACAATCTAGATATATCCAGAATGTCTAATCAGAAAAAGTTCTTAATCAGAGATAAGTCTCGGGATCTGAAGCTTAACAAAAACATTAAAGTAGTTGTTTAATTTGAGTTAAAAAATCATAGTATCATAGTATATAGCCAATACCAATGCGAGATAACCTTAACATGTATATATTACTCTCTCTCTCCTCTTCTCTCTCTCGCTCTATATATAACATTTCATCAATTCCCTTTTCTACTTCCAGTTCCTTGCAACTTACGCACATTCGTAAACAAAAACCGCTGCAACATGAAACGCGGCAAATATCTGGAGCTAGCTCTCACGCTTTTCCTGCTGCTGACCTCTCTCTGCGCTGCAGCCGGCATGAGCCTCTCTAATGGCACAATTGTTGCCAGCTTGAGTGATGGCAGCGCTGCGGGCAGTGCCAATTTGCCCACACTTGGCGCTGGCGTCGGCCTTGGCGGCAGCAATAGCAGCAGCGGTGCCATCAATACAGGCGCGAGTCAGCCAAGCGGCGGTGCGGCCGCCCAATCGAACAGCGAGGCCAGCGGCAGCAGCGGCAACAGCGGCTTATCAGCTAGCAATACGGGTGGTGGCAGCATCGCCGGCAGCAGCGGCGGTGGCAGCAGCGACACGAACTCCGCACTGATGCAGGCGCCCAAGGAGAAGCAATACGAGAAGTGCACCGGCCCGGGGGATCCGGGGCCGTGTAAGCAGTACATTTACAAGTGGCGCTTCGAGCCAACGACCGGGGAATGCACCACCTTCATCTGGGGTGGCTGCGATGGTAATCCGCAAAATCGCTTTAACACCGAGCCGGAGTGTCTCTTTCACTGCGTCGGCGGACCACGTAAGCAAATGAAACCAAAACTTCAGTCAAGTTTGTAAGCCGAGTGTGTGTGTGCCCCGCAGATACCTTGCCGCCGTTTTTGCTGTCAACCACGCGAGAGCCGAGCACCACAGAATCATCGCTGGCCAGCTACAACACACAGAGTCCGGCCCAGCTGCCCGCGGGCTATAACGGCGGACGTATGATGGGCGGCACCACGCCCGTGCCCATCGAGCAGCGCGGCCCCGAATTGACGTTTGCGGAAACGGGTCAGGGCAAGACCTTCATGTTTGCCAAAAACAACACGTTCATCCAAATGGACGGCGACATCATACAGACATTTCAATTACGGTGAGTGAGGGTGGCCGGACGGACGGACGGACGGACGGACGGACGGTTGGCCCAGGAGTCCTGCTTGCCCAGTCAGGATATTGACGGCACGCTCGACACACTTACCTCAATTTGGTTGGGTAGCATTTTTGAAGTCTTTTGCATATTTCATGCTACACAAGAGAGTGGGAGAGGCAGAGAGACTGAGATCGAGAGAGGTGGGGCACGAGTGGAAGCCGCGATTCGCGCGTCATTTGCCAGATTGTTAGCGTTTCAGCTTGCGAACGTGTTTGATGTGCACCTTAACACCCGAATGCCTGGAATATTTCTACCATATTCTTTGAGAACACGAAAATTACAAGAGTTATTTGTTAGTCTTTGCAGTTAAATCCAGCAGGAAGTTAGTCAGGGCTCTAGCTGACTTTAGACATTGTAAAATAAAAGACTTGAGTTGTGCTTTCATGTGGCTTATATTCGTGACAAATTATAGAAGACTGCGCTTAGAAAATGATTGAAAAAAATGCCACCTCAAAGAAAACCAGCTCAATCATCAACAAACAACTCCAATTATAAGTTAGAAAAGTTCGGTCAAAGCATTCTATCATGCCATCTAAATTTCTGGCTCAGTTCAACACAAGAAAATCTCCGAGAGCAGCCCATAAAATTGTCAGTTTTTCATGGGTTAAAGATGCCTTTTGAATATGTCACACAGTTGCAATTAGCCAACATGACGCAGCTTTAAAATATTTGATGTGTGTGCGTGTGAGTGTGTGTGTTCTAAATGCTTTGGCAATTAAGTGTTCTCTAGCCGGAAACTGTTTGAAATTTGATTTTCTGCTCAATTGCAGGACCTTGTGTTTTGACCCAGTTAACTGGCAACTTTTGTCCAGTTGCAATTTGTGCAAACATTTTACATTTGCATATTGAATTAAAATACAAAAATCAAATAAATACAACACAAAAAAAGAAGTCACATAAAATGGGAAAAATAACTTTCTTGTTGTCAGTTTTGGGCTATAGTTTTAATTTCAACTCCAGTTGAGCTCTGAGCAAATAAATTTGCAGAACTCTCTCAGGCCATAAAATAGACTATATTTATATGTGCATATATATTGCTCTCTCCCTCTCCCTCTCTCTCTCTCTCTCTCTCTTGCTTGCAGACTTTGCCGTGAGATATCATTTCAGTTTCGCACTCGCCTGCCGCACGGCCTGCTCGTCTATCACAATGTCAAGAATCCGGATCGCATTAATTTGGACCCCTATGCACTCTACGTGATTGTCGAGAAGGGCCAGCTAAAGGTTGTGCATGTCTTTGGCAAGCATTCAACGAGTGTCACAGTGGGCGAGAGCCTAAATCGAGATGAATGGCACAGTGTTATGGTGAGTTGGACGACAAGTAGACCTAACTATGTTCCATCTGCCACCTAACTGCAACTGGAAGCTGGAAGCT